CCTTGCTCTCTTAATGGAATATGCAACACTAGTTCTAAAGAAGTGTTTAGCTTGCAGGCATTATGTCAGACGCTGAAGCAAAATCTGACAGCATCATTTCTGCAAGTGGAAGAAAGAATACAAGTTAATATTTCCTGAATTCTTATTGTATTTATTGGGAAATAGGTTTGGCTGCAGGTGACAGAGACCAATTATAATCATGACTTAAGATCTTAAGATGGCAACATATTCCTGTCTAATGTAAAAGTCTGGGTTGATTGGTGGCTTTGTGGTATTGTTATGGGGGCCCCATTAAAGTGGGTGTCTGAACTCCCTATCTTTTGTTGCTCCACCATGTTGAAAGTTTAGCTCTTGATCCAGAATGATTCATTCTTATGTTCTCATCCCAGATTCTGGGAAGGGGGAAAGGGTCAAGAGAAAGGGATCCTCCCTATTTCATTAAAGGCATGACCTAGAGTTATATCATTTCTGATGACATTCCACTGGCCAGCGTTTAGTATCATGACAAAACCTAACTGCAAGAAATACTGAGAAATCTAGTTTTATTCTGAATGGCCATGAGTCTAGCTAGATGTTCCACTAATAAAGAAGAGAAAGATAACAGATATTGGGAGACACATAATTGTCTATTCCATAATTATTATGTGTCAAACTGTGCTAAACACTTACAAGCTTTGTCTTACTTAATGCTCACAACAACACTGTGAGGCTGTTTTTACAGAGGAAATATTTTGAGACACAAAGCGATTAAGTTTCCTTAAGTCTTGAGACACAGAGATGTTACATAATTGTCTTAAGTTCTTAGAGGAAATAAATGGTATAGCCAGGACTTGAACCCAGGCACTCTGACTTTAGAACCCTATGCTCTGGGCCACTGTGTAATCCTTGCTTGCTCATTATGTCTCTTGAGCCTTGTTTAAAAGCAGTAAGGAATTAAAGATACTTTATAAATTGTTTATTCATGGTTTCCTCTTCAAGGCAGCTAATTGCTTCCATTCTAAAATTCCTGTCTTGTCTGGTGTAAAAAGGTGTTCAGTACAATTTGGTCTAGACAAGATAACACAAGAGAATAATGCCACACAAATGTGAGAAGAATTTTAATGAAAGCAATTCCTGATTTGAAAGAAATGTGTCTATGTGATGATAAAGCAAGAAGTCTTTTTAATGCATATTACATTTTTTATAAAGGGACAGAAAAAAAACATCCAATATATCACTAGAATACAGAAATGAAAAGATTCTATCATTCAACAATGATCAAGATTGTTAATCTTTGCAGTCTTTACAAATTTCAACTACATACAGGTTACCAATTTATATGTTAATATAAATGCATCTATACAGCACCAAAGAAAATTAAAGAATGTGAAGCTGCTGTAGATTCAGTGGTCAGAGAAAATCTCCCTGGGCAAGCAGCAGTAAAACTAAAAATTTAAAAAGTAAGTGGGAGCCAGCCAGATTAAGAATTAACTTGTGTGTTTATCAGTCACGATAGGTTAAGTGATGCTGCAGTAACAACTCCAAACTCTTAGTGGCTTAAAACAATGAAGATTTCTCACTCATGCCGCATGTTCCTAACAGGATGTTTGGGGACTCTACTTTATGGTATCCTCAGACCAGGATCCAGACTTGCAGAGCAGACACTATTTGGAACATTGCCATTCTCTATGAAAAAAAAAAAAAAAGAAAGAAAGGGTGTGTGGTGAACCCTGCCCTTGATTTTAAAGCTTTTACCTGGGATTACTTACCACATTTCAATGGCCAGTGTGAGTCACATGATGACATCTAATGCCAAGAGGGCAGGAATGTGCAATTTCAACTTGCTTTCAGAAGTAAGGAGAATGGAAAGTGTTTAGTGAATAGACTAATGACTACTGTGTTAGGTGATGGAGTATGGTGGGAAGGCATTCTCAGCTGAGAAAAAAACATGTTCGAAGGCCCTGAAATGGGAAAGAACTTGGCATATTTATGAAATTTTAAGTAGAATTATGTTGCTGAATCCTATCTCCTATCCAGAGGAAGAGGGAATAGATTAGGCAGATTTTTAAGGGCTATGGGAAAAGGGTATAGATTTCATTCAAAATATAACATAAAACTACTGGTTGGTTTTAAGCAGGGGACTCACACGAATTCAGAAATATTTTAAAAGAGTATTGACTAACGACACTTCTTTTTCTGTGGAGAATAGATTGGAAGGGAACTGAAAGGAGGGACACCAAATAGGCACTTTTTCAAAATTCTAAGTGCAATTGCATGGTGGTCCCCAGTTTAATGCAGTCTTATTTGAGGCAAATATTCTATTTTACACATTTTTTAATCATTCATTATTATCCATTTCAATCTTCTTCCCATATGCCTCCAGATTCACACAGCACTTCAAGCCACTGCAATGGCCCACAAGGAAGGAATAAAGGTTTCCGTTTCCTCTTCTTTTACTTCTGTTTCTCTTTTCTCTTATCCTGCTAAGGACCTGTGCCTGCCTATGTTGAAGGAAAGGAAAGAGAAAAGCTATGCATCATTGCTTGAAATATTTGGTAATGGGACAAAGAGGTCTCCTTTCTGTTGTCACTACCATTTCTCCATATGAAACTGATAACATAAGGCTGCTGATGTCTTCTCACTCTGTTTAATCCACATGAATGTTCAAAGAGGTGATCTTCTGCCTCCAGGATGTTTGTAGGGTAGGAGATGCACAATCCCAAGCAGGGTTCCTTCTGCTCGGGCTCCAAGGGGAAGTGAGGCTGAGAAGAGAATTGATGGATGAGAAAGTGATGTACTCATTAGAACTGAATAATGGTTTCAAAGGTGTTGAAATTCATGATTTTAGATATAACGTAATTTCTAGAGATGACAGGTTCCAGGGTTTCCTCATAAGAGCGAATGGTGCACATGAACACGGAGGTCAAAGAAGATTGAGCAGGTCAAAGAACTGAAAACCCAGGGAGTTGGATGTGTTATGCCTGGGATTGTTGTACTCTGCAAGAAATGAGGCCAAATCGAGGGTATATCCATTTCCTGTGGCTGCTGTAACAAATTACCACAAACTTGGTGGGGATGTAAAAGTGCTTAGTATGGCTGCCTATTGCAGCACATGAGTCATCGTGCATCATTTGTCTCCTTAACTAACATAAAGGGTAATGGTAATTCTTAGTAGATGTTCTGTTTAGACTCATTTTTTTCTCAATACCAGAATGCCTAGCACACTGTAGGCATACTATAAGTGCTTGTTGGATGAATAAATGAAACATTAAGCCAAAAATTTTAAAAAGTTTGCTCTACAGTTTGAAAATTCTCCTTTTATGACTCTCTCATCAGGCTGGGAAATAAATGACCTGGTTTCTGATTCCATCTGTATTGCTTATTGTTTTTAATATGAGTCTTATAATACTTCACAAGTTAGTTTGAAAGAACAAAAGAAATATAATAAGTAGCTTTAAATATTCAACTGCTTTATAACCTAGCATGGAATTAGACCCTGAGCAGTGTATACAATAAACTAAGGCCTTTGTTCTTGCCTTTGGGAAGATGCTAGTCTAGATAGGCATGACAAAGTTTAATATCACAAATGTAAAAGATGATAGTATAAAATGTGTGGAATGATTTTCGATTTTTTTTCCTGCAACATAGACATTCTATGTTGAAGAAGAGATTGGCTCAGTAGCACAAAGGAATGACATGTTTGTGAAGCATTTAAGTGAGAAGGAACCTGTCTTCTGGAGCGGAGTTTTCTGAATTTGGCAATAGGCTTTTAAAAATCCCATTACCTAGGCCACATCCAAAGCTAATTACATTAGAATCTATGGGAGTGAGATTTGGGAATCAGTATTTTAAAAATCTTTCCGAAGTGATTCTAATATATAGCCAAATTTGAGACTGAATTTGCTAAAGCTATGCTTCTCAAGCTCTAACCACTTGAAAATTTTGTTAAAATGTCGATTCTGATCCAATAGGGTCTAAGGCAGTGCCTGAGATTCTGCATTCCTACAAAGTTCCCAGGCGATGTTGATGCTGCTGGAACAAGAACCATATTTGGAATAGCAGTTTTCTAAAGTATGGATAAGTAAATTACATGTCAGGTAGTAAAAGAAGGGACATGGAACTAATATTTATTTAGAACCTATGTGCCAGGCAGCATGCTAATAACTTTGCATTTGTCATCTCATTTAATCTTTACAACAATTATGGAGGAATACTATTACTCTCACCTTAAAAATGAAGAGACTAGGGTTGAATAGGTAAGTCACTGAAGTTGAACAGTTTATTCATGATGGATCCGGGATTTAAACATAGGCATGTCTAACAGCAAAGCCCATAGGCTAATAGAAATTGTTGGAAACTTTCAAATGCTAAGCAGAAATTTTTTTTTATCTGAAATGGTAGGTGGTCTACAGCCATACCACCCTTAATATGCCTGATCAGTGTCTTTGTTACTTTCCTTAAGTGATCACATGAAGATTGTGCCTACAATGATGCTGAGTTTGATTTCACACTCTTGCGTCAAGTCATGTATACAGGCAGGTAAAGAACCAGGTACTATGTAGGCTTATAACCTGGGGCCATACTCTCTAGTGTTATGGTATCAAAGATATCCTAGAGAAGTCACAGTAGAATGTGAATAAATACTAATAGCAAAATAATAATGCTAGTAGAGAATGTCAAAATTCAAAAGTAAAACATAAACCCTTTTTTTTTTCAGTTACTGATATCAAAGGATTTTTTATTCTGGAGGGAGAAATTCTATTTCCTGGAAATATTTGGCTCTAATTCCTTGATTCAAATATTCTTCCAAATGAAAATATCTCATGAATAAAGAGATGGGAATTGAAAGTAAGGACACTAAATAGGCACCTTTTCGAAATTCTAAGTGAGACTGCATGGTGGTCCCCAGGGTAAAGCAGTCTTATTTGACGCAAATATTCTATCTATTTTAGACATTGTTTTAGATATTGTAGATATCTCTGCTCTTTTTTTTTTAAGTGATTTTTTTTCTCTCCTTTCAGGAAGCTGAAAAATGAACTCTTAGAAGCAAAACGTAGAAGTGGGAAAACTCAACAAGAGACCAGCAGAGTTTGTGTTCATTGTCAGAAAAACCTGGGCCTAATCTTTGACCGAGGAGATCCTTGTCAGGCTTGCTCACTGAGGGTGTGCAGAGAGTGTCGAGTTGCAGGCCCAGATGGCAGCTGGAAGTGCACTGTCTGTGCCAAAATCGCGTGAGTTTCTTGCCTTTTCATGGAAAGTGGAGGTTTGATGACTGAAGGGATTGGAGTGGGGAAAGTAAGAGAGAAAAAGAATATTTTAAGTTTAAGGATAGAGTGTGCAGGTGAAATTACAGCCCAAACACAGCCTTAACAATGCCTTGGCAGGGCTCATGTGCACATGTGTATGTGTACGCGTGTGTGTGTGTGTGTGTGTGTGTGTGTGTGAGAGAGAGAGAGAGAGAGAGAGAGAGAGAGAGAGAGAGAGAGAGACAGAGAGGCAGAAAACCTAAAATGTAATAAAAAAAAGAATTTTTTTTTTTTTTGAGACAGAGTCTCACTCTGTCACCATGCGCTAGGCTGGAGTGCAGTGGCACAATCTCGGCTCACTGCAACCTCCGCCTCCTGGGTTCAAGCAATTCTCCTGCCTCAGCCTCCCGAGTAGCTGGGACTACAGGCACGCGCTACCACGCCCAGCTAATTTTTGTATTTTTAGTAGAGACGGGGTTTCACCATGTTGGCCAGGATAGTCTCGATCTCTTGACCTTGTGATCCGCCCACTTCGGCCTCCCAAATTGCTGGCTTGAGCCACCGCGCCCGGCCAAGAATATATTTTTTAAAAAACTGCAAAGTATTACAAAATTGGAAGCCTCCCTGAACCATATCTCTTTCATTTTTATCATTATTAATATTATTTTAGAGAAAGGGTCTCACTCTGTTGCCCAGGCTGGAATGCAGTGGCTGTTATCAGGGCTCACTGAAGCCCCAACCTCCTGGGCTCAAGTGATCCTCTCACCTCAGCCTCCCAAATAGCTGAGACTACAGGTGTGCACCACTGCTCCCAACTAATTTTTTTTTTTAAGAGGCAGGGTCTTGCTGTGTTATCCAGGCTGGTCCTCTACCCTTGGCCTCCCAAAGTGCTGGGATTATAGGCATGAGCCACTGCACATGGCCACTCTTTCCGTATTTAAAAACGGTCCCTGAGCATCCTTGTCTCAGGGCCCCTCTTGGCTTCACATGGCTCCTCAGAAGACACAGATAATTCCGCAAGACATTCTTAGACATTTGAGGTGACTGACAATATGATTCTCACATGTTCAGCCGGCTCTGCACATCAGCTGACAAGTAAAGCAGGAATAGTTGCTGAATTTCCTCCAAACCTACTTTTCCTTGAGAAAAAACGAAGGAAGAGAATCTTCCCATTTGCCTCTATGTTTAGCCTATGGGAGTGCAGTGAGCACAAATTTCACCTTGCCAAGTTGGGTGAAAGCCAAGAGTCATTGTTTTCTCAGTTAAATTAAACCAGTTAGTCTGAGTCAGTGTTTACTACTCCCGTCCTTTTGAGAAATTTCCCCTAAATCTACTGGTGTGTTTTCTGCCTCCCAGTGTCTGTTTCCTCTGCTCTGGGAGGCACCTCATAATCTCATCTCAAGGCAGCTGAGAGTTGATCTACCTTTCCTGTGAATGAAGTAGGGGATAGTGCCACACTCCAATTTGTTGGATTTTGTTTTTTCACCTCATTAACTCATCCTGTTACGGTAGTTTAGAGGCTATCTTGGGAGGAAAAGTGAATACTGAGGTAGTAGATGTTACCTTTCATTTTCAACTTCTCTGAATGAGGACTACCGTTCTGTTGAAGATACCTATATTAGGTGCTTACATTTTTAGCCAACGTTATGTTCCCTGCACTGTTTCACAAAAGTGATCCTGAATAGTGCAATTTGAACTATGTTTTAATACTGGATTTAGATAAGTAGGATTTTTTCTTTTCTTTAATTTTTAATTTTTGTGGGTACATAGCAAGCATATATATTTATGAGCTACATGAGATGTTTTGACACAGGCTTGCAATATGCAATAATTACATCAGGGTAAATGGGGTATCTATCACCTCAAGCATTCATCCTTTGTATTACAAACTAACTATACTTTTAGTTATTTTATAAGTAAAATTAAATTGTTATAGACTATAATCACCCTGTTATGCTATCAAATATTAGATCTTATTCATTCTAACTATCTTTATGCCTATTAGCCATCTTCACTTCCCTCGACCCCCACTACCCTTCCCAGCCTTTGGTGACCATCCTTCCACTCTCTATGTCCATGAGTTAAATTGTTTTAATTTTTAGCTCCCACAAATAAGTGTAAACATGTAAAGTTTGTCTTTCTGTGCCTAGCTTATTTCACTTAACATAATGATCTCTATTTTCATCCATGTTGTTGCAAATTACTGGATCTCATTCCTTTTTATAGCTGAATAGTGCTCCATTGTGTATATGCACCACATTTTCTTAATCCATTCATTTGTTGATGGACACTTAGGTTGCTTCCAAATCTTGGCTATTGTAAATAGTGCTGCAGTAAAAATAGGAGTGCAGATATCTCTTCAATATACTGATTTCCTTTATTTTGAGTATATACCTAGGAGTGGGAATGTCAGACCTATGGTAGCTCTATTTTATGTTAGACCTATGGTACCTAGGAGTGGGAATGTTAGACCTATGGTAGACCTATGGAGCTCTAACAGAACCTCCAAACTGTTCTCCTAGTTGTTGTAATAATTTACATTTTCACCAACAGTATATGAGAGTTCCTTTTCCTCTGCATTCTCACCAGCATTCGTTATTGCCTGTCTTGTGGATAAAAGCCATTCTAACTGGAGTTAGATAGTAGCTCATTGTAGTTTTGTCATGCATTTATCTGATGATCCGTGAGTGTTGTTGAACACCTTTTCATATGCATGTTTATTATTTGTATGTCTTCTTTTGATAAATGTCTGTTCAGATATTTTGCCCATTTAATCAGATTATTAGATTTTTCCTAATCAGATTATTAGATTTTTTTGTAGAGTTGCTTGAGCTCCTTATATATTCTTGTTATTAATCCCTTGTCAGATGGGTAGTTTGCAAATGTTTTTTCCCATTCTTCAAGTTGTCTCTTCACTTTGTTGACTGTACCCTTTGCTGTGCAGAAGCTTTTTAACTTGATATGATCCTATTTGTTCATGTTTACTTCGGTTACCTGTGCTTGTGGGGTACTTCTCAAAAAGTATTTGCCCAAACCAAGGTCCTAGAGATTTTCTGCAATGTTTTCTTGTAGTAGTTTCATAACTTGAAGTCTTAGATTTAAGTATTTAATCCATTCTGATTTGATTTTTGTGTATAGTGAGAGAGATGGGTCTAGTTTCATTCTTCTGCTTATGTATATCCAGTTTTTCCAGCACCATTTATTGAAAAAACTCTCCTTTCCCCAATGTATGATTCTGACATCTTTGTCAAAAATGAGCTCACTGTAAATGTATGAATATGTTTCTTGGTTCTCTACTCGGTTCCATTGGTCTATGAATCTGTTTTTATACCAGTACCATGCTGATTTGCATATGTTCTGTGGCATAAAAACATGGACATTATAGCTCTGTAGTATAATTTGAAGTCAGGTAATGTGATTCCTCTAGTTTTCTTTTTGCTCAGGACAACTTTGGCTATTCTGGGTCTTTTGTGGTTCTATGTAAATTTTAAGATTGGTTTTTCTAGTTCTGTGAAAAATGTAATTGGTATTTTAATAGAGATTGCATTGAATCTGTAGATTGTTTTAGATAAACAGTTTTAAAGAAATGAACTATTTAAGTTCTTTGAATATTTACTTTAGATATGTTATTTTGATTTACTTAAGGAATTATTATCAATTCTTTATCTCACATAAATAAATTTTTCTTAGTCTTTTTGTCATCAGCAAACTTCCTTTTCCAGATCTGGGAGGATGAACACTGATGAAATCATCAATATATGGATTTCAACATCATCTTCTACTGATTTGAAGGAGCTCTTTATACATTCCATATTTAAGCTATGTTGGTTACCTATATTGCAGATATCCTCTCTCACCTTCTGACTTGGCTTTCCACTCTATTAATGGCATCATTTTATGAACAGAAATATCTACTTTTTAGTAGTTGCATTTTTAAATTTTTTTCTTGGATTATTAGAGGGATTTTTTCTGAATCCTGCTGAAGAAAACTTTCCCTAACACCAAAATTGTGAAAATATTCTCCTATGTGATGTTTTGTAATTGTTATTGTCTTACCTTTTAACCTTTAAACTTATAATCCACCTGAAACTGATTTTTTGTGCAAACTGTGAGTTAAAAACTGATTTTTATATTTTAATATAGGAATTATGCAGTGACTGAATTGAGTATCCTAATAACTATTCAATGATGTTTTTAATTATGTTGTCCAAGTCTTCCATATTTTTAGTGGTTTTTTAATCTGCATATCCACTCAGATATTGAAAAAGGTAATCTAAACTCTCTCAATAATGATCGTGGATTTTCTATTTATCCTTTTATTTCTGATTATATTTGCTTTTTATATTTAGATTTACTACATAGTTACCCTTTCCATCACTCTTTATTCTTTGCTATATCTCTATACTTCCATTGGAATAATTTTTCTTCTTCCTGAAGTGTACCCTTTAGTATTTCCTTTAGCATGGTTTTGCTGGTGGTGAATATTCTCAATTTTTTTCTTAGCATAGCTTTATTTCACTCTTAGTTTTCAAATATGTTTTCACTGCTTATTGAATCCTAGGATGGACGTTATTAACTTTCAGTAATTTGAAGATTCTATTGGCTTTGGATTTCCAACGTTTCCATTAGAAAATCAGGTATCAGTATATTATCTTTCCTTTGAAAGTAATATTTTTTAACCATTTTTGATATTTTCCCCTTTCCTGTCATGTTTTCAATAGTTACTATAACAATCCTAGGTCTGATTTTCTTTGTATTTATCTATCTTGATGTTCCTAGAACATCTTGAACTTGTACATTAATATATTTTGTCGTATTAAAAAATTTTCCAGGAATATCCCTTTAGATATTTCTTTTCTCCCATTATCTCTCTCCTCTACTCCAAGTAGTCGGGATATGCATCTTAGTAATATTCAACATCTTTTAGATATCTTTATGCTCCTTTCTGTATTTGTTTTCCATTTATATTTCTAAACTCAGTTTGT